TATTATGTATATATAAATATATGACCTACCCCAACCCCGTCCCTAAACCTACCCGTCACTGGGGTTAAGCATGGGCCCGCCGCCGGCATTTGCCATTGCATGTTTAAAACCATAATATCTTAGTAAAAACCTAAAGTAATATTGCCAAACTATATATCATTTGAAAGCTTAAAATCTCTAGTTTTCATATTTGGTGGCTGTTATCTAAAATATATTACAGAGGAGCAGAAATTTATCAATTTGCAACAAGAATATTTCATATTCATTAGGAGTATTTAGGCCTTTATTTTGAAATAACAATAAACATGAAAAATCATGAAAGATTGGTAGAAACCTCAGTTTGTTTTCATGCCATGAGTTCAAAAGATAACACCAATTACATTTTATGAGAAAAAAAGGTCTGAAAATTTTTTAAATATAAAGAAAAATGTATGGATTCTCGATTTGTAATGCGGCTGCGAGCTATAACGCTATAACGTAGTCTTTATGCATTTATTAGAGGTTTAATTCAAATCAAATACTGCCAAACCACCCATACTACTTCTGAATAGGATGTCTACTTCATAAATTGTATGAAAATTATGGAAATACATGGTTCAGATCACTCAAAACATATGAAAATGGAGGCGCCCTTATATGGGCAGTAATGGAGTCTGGTGTTCACCTAGTGAAAAAGTTGGGTACTGCGCCCAAATAAAATCTTACTGAAAGCTCATTTTTTGAGATATCAACCTAAAATTTGGAATACAACTTGTTCAGATATTTGACTTTAATTTCCTTGCAGTTTTAGAGTAAAATATATTTTGTAATATATATATTTTATATAAAATATTAATCATTATATTTTTACATTACACAATTTCATAAACTCAAACTTATATAACTTTTTTTCTGTTTCATTTTTTACAATTTCTAGACTTCTACAATAATCTGGAAAATGTCTTCTTTAAAACAAGACCAGCCATAGGTCTATATTCCAAAGCATTCCTGAATTACAACCATTTAAGTTTGGATAGTGATTTGTATGTCTATGCAAAAAAAAGGGGGGTGCCAGTTAATAGCTACCATCCTAGGAAAAGAAATATCGCTCCACAGATGTAGATATAGATTTTGCTTCGTTTCGCTCGGACATTTAACGGCGTACACATACACGCGGAATCACTCGGACATTTAATGGCGTAGACATACACGCAAAAGATTTCGGCGTGGACATACACGTTGATAGCTCAAAATGCGTATAGATAACACGCCACTTGAATTGAAAGTGGCGTGTATTTTTACGCAAAGTCATGATGTCATGTTGCATTTTGAGGAATACTGAATGTTTTCTTGTAAGTGAGACGAGTAAATGCATGTTCACATTTAGTCTAGAATTACAATAACCATCATGTTTACACACACACACACACACACACACACACACACACACACACACACACACACACACACACACACACACACACACACACACACACACACACACACACACACACACCTCCTCACTTTATTTCTCTCAACATGGGGACAGGAGAGCTGTCAGTCAATAAATGTGAAAAAGTAACTAGCGTCACTTATTTGAAAAGTAACTTAGATATTTTGTTGAAAATCTACTAGAGTAGTATCAGATTACTTGAAAAAGTACAAGTTACAATAATACAAGTTACTTGTAATGAGCAGTGGTGGAGGAAGCACTGAATCTCAGTACTTAAGTAAAAGTACAAATAACCAGAGACATATTTACTTTAGTAAAAGTAGAAGTACCACAATGACAACCCTACTTAAGTAAAAAGTAAAAAGTACCTGATTTTAAATGTACTTTAAGTATTAAAAGTAAAAGTACTTGCATAACAATTTATTCTCTTAATGTCTATATTCTAATGATTAATAAAACAGTTAATTCTAACTCATTCAACCTAATACTCATATAATGATGTTCAATATGATGGAAAAGCAGTTATATTTTAAGTTTTTGTCACCATTTCTGAACAAGCTTGCAATTAGGCAATATAACCTACACATCAAGCTTACTATAGGCTACCCTTACACAGGGCCGTCCATAAGGGGGGATAAAGGGGAATGTTTTCTGGGGCCCAGCCGCTAGGGGGGGCCCATGCAGTCCAGCAATAATTATGTTCATCCTAAATATAAGGAAAGGTTACCATATTTCATTTTTAACCAAAATAGCACCATTTATTGTTGAAAGTGAGAGAAAAAAATGCATTTTATTTAATGTTGCTTGAGTAAAATGTAGCCTGTGTCATAATGAAACACCCCTCTACTGAAAATGGTCTGAGTAGGCTATTTTTTGTTGTACGTAACGCAAAGTCAAAACGCCAGTGCTTCGCGCCAGTTCGCGATCAGCAGCGCAAGTGAGCAATAATAACCAAGTGAGTGACACACGATGGAGTGCGCGAATTGACGCGGTAGGACCCTAGACAGTAAAAGAAAAAGTAAGACCTATTGCTCACCATCTCCCCAGTGTGATTGAAGCAATCGATTGCCTAAAATCGTCCTGTAAATGATCTAATGAGGCCTTATCAGATGCGCGAGGACTGAGAGAATATTTCATGTCATTTACAGCAGTTGTCATGTGCACTGTCCGGCTAAAACTACTCCAACATATCGAAGATAGGATGGAATTTGCTTCTGCAGTGTGGCAGCCTTATGGTGTGTTCACACCGAACGTGAATTTAATCATTTGCGCGAGTAGATTACATACAAAGTCAATGCAAAGACACGAATAGACGCATCATTTGCGCCGGGCGTTGCGAATGACGCGAATTGGGCGACGCGTTTGCCGCGAATGTCTTCCGCGCAAGTTGAAAACTCTGAACTCGAGCGAATGTTCAAGCGTCTAACTAGACGCGATAGACGCGTATTTGATGTTGGGCAGGTCGCGGGAATGGGGTTGTTTCATGACAATTTTCTTTTTTCATTGGTTGTTGCGTTAAATCGTACCCATACAATAGTGCTATTTTCTGATTGGCTTTTGTGTAGCTCGACTAACAACACAGAACGCGCTTGATTCCTGCCGGGTCCAAAGTGAGAGCGGCGCGGCCAGAGACATGTTGCGCGCTGCGGCATATTAAATATATTATAAATCGTTTTTCCGCGTGAGAAATACAATGTGTGGCGGGAGTGCGTGACAAAAGATCGAAATGAGTGACTGTCATGCTCAATGCGTGACACTTGAGAGCCCTGGGTGTGTGTGTGTGTGTGTGTGTGTATAGACCCCATCACGGAGTAAGTCTCTCTCAGTTAAATGTATGTGTTAATGTAGGAGAGAGAGAGAGCACACGCATGATATGAGTAGCCTATTGCAGATTTGGGGAGGGCCCATTCACTGGACCTTTTCAGGGGCCCAGTCATTTCTGTGGGCGGGCCTGCCCTTACATACGGTATATATATATATATATATATATAAACACATATTATGTTAAAACGCCGTATATGACGGCGTTTGCTGTAATCGCGATTCATTTATGGCATAATTCTGAACCTCTTGGCTTGCCATACTAATCCTAACCAAACGTATAATACACACGCACCCCACATCACTACTAAACCTACCAATGCGTTTCCTATGCATGTAAAAACTAATTTTCGCGTATAAATTGCACGATAAACACACTGCGTGCTGTAGAGACCATAGACATAATAAATAAAAACTACCGTATGTATTTATTATGTCTATGATAGAGACGCATTTAGTGTGACCGGGTTGATATATCTATGGCAACCAAACTTCACTGGTGAGACAGAAACGTGCGACGAACGGACGGTCAGGATGACGTTTTGGTCGAAAGTATAATAATTGCTGGAAAATGTAACGAAGTAAAAGTAAAAAGTATGCACTATTAATTCTACTTAAGTAAAGTACAGATACGTGAAAATTTTACTTAAGTAAAGTAACAAAGTATTTGTACTTCGTTACATTCCACCACTGGTAATGAGTTAGCCACAACACTGCACGTGAGTGTGTGAGCTACAGTTAAACCACACGCTTCTGTTTACAGCCTCAAAAGATTCCGTCAGGCGCTGCATGTAGAGAACATTTTACTTTTAATTCATTTATTGTGTTTAATTGCATTTTTAAAAAGTTCATAAACATACTTTTTTTCTAAAGAAAAATATTGAAATAACCAGTGTTGGGTGTAACGCATTACAAGTAATGCAAGTTACATAATCTGGTTACTCTATTCAAGGAACAAGTAAAGTAACGCTACTTTTAAATTCACAACAAAACATCTGAGTTACTTTTTCAAATAAGTTACTTTGTTTTCCTATTTATTGGCTGATTTAGCATTTCCTTCAGCCTTTATGTTCACCAAAAATACTATTTCAAGAATGATTCTTTTGTTATTTAAAACAACACGCAAGCCCAGCCCAGGTGAGAAAAAGCAACGCAAACGTAACGTTTAACATAACTTTCCATAAAAAGTAACTAAGTAAGTTAAATGTAAGTTAAAACTTTCCCCAACACTGGAAATAACCCATGAATCATGTAAATAATCATTTACGACATTTCTTCTTACAGTATATGAAAGCTTTTTGGGTTCTTTGATATTGAGCCAAGAACACTAGAGCTCCACATAGAACACGGAAACATTGTTTCTCAGAGTGGATTAGAAACTCAACAGCAGCTTCTGACGGCCTATTGTTGTGAGTGGATGAGTGTGTGTGTGTGTGTGTGTGTGTGTGTGTGTGTGTGTGTGTGTTTGTGTGTGTGTGTGTGTGTGTTTGTGTGTGTGTGTGTGACTGTTGTTGTGACTCAGATCAATGACTGAACTGATGAATATGTGTGTGTTCAGACCTTTGGCAAAGATGTTAGGAATCTCAGTGTAGTTCCACTGTCCGCCGTGTTCCAGAGTCCAGCGACCCCAGATATCAGTGGACACAGTGTTGGTCATCCACCACGCCTACACACACACACACACACACACACACACACAAACAAACACATCATATCAGCAGGAGCGAGAGAGACGTCATTCAACTATACACGGATTTCTACTCAAACCTCAGTTCTGCGTTCAGTTCTTCCGGTATCATTACACCATTACAAGAAGCTTCAACTTTAGTGTGATCGTGGATCATATCAATATTGCTCTGTCATGTAACACATTTCCTCAATACTTCATTTTGTGCTTCATTTTCTCACAGTTTCCAAACACTGCTGACGCTAAATCGCACATGGAGTCTGTTACTGACGCATGTTCCTGAACTGAAGATGAAAACTAAATCTAATGTAGTAAGCAGATGAATAATTAAGCATGTGTGTGTGTGTGTGTGTGTGTGTGTGAAGGCCCTCGCCTGCTCGGAGTGTGTGTGTAACTCACGTTATGGATGGTGGCGGCCAGCAGCAGAGCGATGCAGCCGAGGTGGAGGAGGAAGATGGCAGCGAGTAACACCAACATGACTGACAGACAGAGAGAAACACACACAGATAAACTCACTGAGATTAGGCTCAGCACATTTCAACAGCAGCACATGAAGCCAGTGTGAACCCGCCCTGTTCAGAGGGTGTGTGTGTGTTCAGCAGGTATGAATGAGCGGATCAACTGTTGTTACAGCTCTATGGGTTGAAACATGTCTTCAGCATTGCACAGAAATGCCACTCCTCAAAGAAGCGTCCCTCCTCTCTTCCCATCTGTCCCACTTCAGGCGCTCCGATTCCCATGTTTCTCAAGATTTCCCATATATCACACAGAAGAACACCAGCTCAGGCTCTCGCTGACCGAACACACTCCTCTCAGCATGACACATGCTCACACACACCAACACACACGCACACACACTCTCTTAACTAGTGTTCTGAAGCCTGGAATCCCCCCAGAGCTCCCGAGCGGAGGAGTAGAGAGACTGAGAAGAGTTTCAGATCTTACCTGAATAACAGAAGGCCGATCACAGGAGGAGAGCAACTGCACACTTCCAGAGGAGATCTGTGTCGACTGGAGATCTTTACTCTCACCTCTCCCACCAGCCTCTCTCTAACAGGCCCCGCCCCTGACCCCGCCCCCTCACTCTCATTACTGCCTTTACTCTCACCTCTCCCACCAGCCTCTCTCTAACAGGCCCCGCCCCTGACCCCGCCCCCTCACTCTCATTACTGCCTTTACTCTCACCTCTCCCACCAGCCTCTCTCTAACAGGCCCCGCCCCTGACCCCGCCCCCTCACTCTCATTACTGCCTTTACTCTCACCTCTCCCACCAGCCTCTCTCTAACAGGCCCCGCCCCTGACCCCGCCCCCTCACTCTCATTACTGCCTTTACTCTCACCTCTCCCACCAGCCTCTCTCTAACAGGCCCCGCCCCTGACTCCGCCCCCTCACTCTCATTACTGCCTTTACTCTCACCTCTCCCACCAGCCTCTCTCTAACAGGCCCCGCCCCTGACCCCGCCCCCTCACTCTCATTACTGCCTTTACTCTCACCTCTCCCACCAGCCTCTCTCTAACAGGCCCCGCCCCTGACCCCGCCCCCTCACTCTCATTACTGCCTTTACTCTCACCTCTCCCACCAGCCTCTCTCTAACAGGCCCCGCCCCTGACCCCGCCCCCTCACTCTCATTACTGCCTTTACTCTCACCTCTCCCACCAGCCTCTCTCTAACAGGCCCCGCCCCTGACCCCGCCCCCTCACTCTCATTACTGCCTTTACTCTCACCTCTCCCACCAGCCTCTCTCTAACAGGCCCCGCCCCTGACTCCGCCCCCTCACTCTCATTACTGCCTTTACTGTCACCTCTCCCACCAGCCTCTCTCTAACAGGCCCCGCCCCTGACTCCGCCCCCTCACTCTCATTACTGCCTTTACTCTCACCTCTCCCACCAGCCTCTCTCTAACAGGCCCCGCCCCTGACCCCGCCCCCTCACTCTCATTACTGCCTTTACTCTCACCTCTCCCACCAGCCTCTCTCTAACAGGCCCCGCCCCCGCCCCTGACCCCGCCCCCTCACTCTCATTACTGCCTTTACTCTCACCTCTCCCACCAGCCTCTCTCTAACAGGCCCCGCCCCCGACCCCGCCCCCTCACTCTCATTACTGCCTTTACTCTCACCTCTCCCACCAGCCACTCCCTAACAGGCCCCGCCCCTGACTCCGCCCCCTCACTCTCATTACTGCCTTTACTCTCACCTCTCCCACCAGCCTCTCTCTAACAGGCCCCGCCCCTGACCCCGCCCCCTCACTCTCATTACTGCCTTTGCTCTCACCTCTCCCACCAGCCTCTCTCTAACAGGCTCCGCCCCCTCACTCTCATTACTGCCTTTACTCTCAACTATCCTACCAGCTGCTCTCTAACAGGCCCCGCCCCTGACTCCGCCCCCTCACTCTCATTACTGCCTTTACTCTCACCTCTCCCACCAGCCTCTCTCTAACAGGCCCCGCCCCTGACCCCGCCCCCTCACTCTCATTACTGCCTTTGCTCTCACCTCTCCCACCAGCCGCTCTCTAACAGGCTCCGCCCCCTCACTCTCATTACTGCCTTTACTCTCACCTCTCCCACCAGCCTCTCTCTAACAGGCCCCGCCCCTGACTCCGCCCCCTCACTCTCATTACTGCCTTTACTCTCACCTCTCCCACCAGCCTCTCTCTAACAGGCCCCGCCCCTGACTCCGCCCCCTCACTCTCATTACTGCCTTTACTCTCACCTCTCCCACCAGCCTCTCTCTAACAGGCCCCGCCCCTGACCCCGCCCCCTCACTCTCATTACTGCCTTTACTCTCACTATCCCACCCGCCGCTCTCTAACAGGCCCCTCCCCTGGCTCTGCCCAGGCCCCGCCCCTGACCCCCGCCCCTCACTCTCATTACTGCCCATTCCCTGATCTATCCCACCAGCCACTCTCTAGCTGGCCCCTCCCCCTGGCTCCGCCCCCTCACTCTCATTCCTGTAGTGTTTCTCTTTCTCAAAGGGTGTGGCGTTTAGGAAGGTCCTGACAAGCCCTTTTCCCCCGGCTCTGTGAAAACTTTGTGTAACTGATAACACCAATCACTGGCTCTCTCTCTCTCTCTCTCTCTCTCTCTCTCTCTCTCTCTCTCTCTCTCTCTCTCTCTCTCTCTCTCACACACACACACACACACACACACACACACACACATACACACCTTCCTCATAACCCTGTTCTCTCTGTGTGATTCATTGGTAAATATTGTCCTGTATTGAGTCTACGAGTCTACGCCCTCTTACAGACCATCACTCACATCAACCACTGGAAGCTTTAATGCTGGATTTAAAATCAGGACACAAGACACATGATGGAGTCGCCACTGATATCCTCTAATAACTTTAGAAAATGATGATCATTATTGTCAAATGTGGATCAGATTCAATGAGCTTTAGATGCGATTCAGTCCAACTGGTCAAAATGCCTGAAGCTGTCAATTATGATTTGATTAAACCAGATCTATTTGATAGTTTTAGTGCTAAATAGGATAAGGACCGACCAACTTCTTGACTGAGAACCTGGTCAAATGTCTTTATATGTCCGAAAACAATTATTAGAAATAGATATTAGAAATCAGTCTGGGAAACAGTTTGACAGATATTATTCTAATGAGAGTCTCTAGATGCCAGAGTTCAGTTAGCCTCAGAAAAAGTTTGAAAAAGCTTTTCAGTATTGTCTAAAATAGTGAAAAATAGTGTAATTTTAACTGATGTATTCAAATGAGATGAGGAGTTTTGAGTTTATATTATGATTATGAATAAGTTGGTGAGATGTTGAAAGAAGGCTTGGATATATGTTGCCCGGATCCATAAAAACACCAAACACTTCAATTATTCCTGTTGTTTTCGGTCTTTGCTTTGGGTTTTTTGTGAAATGTGTTTCTGTGATTCTCAGTGAGTAAATACACACACACACACACACACACACACACACACACACACACACACACACACACACACCCTGTGTGACAGACACACACCCTAACGAGAAGACGAGAGAATTTAGAAATGTTGTCCAACCAGATTTCACCTGCAGGACAGATACAACCTCACCTGAGCGCCAAAACACACACACACACACACGCGCGCGCGCGCACTCACAATAACGTCTTTGTGTAAGAACAAAAAAGTCCTGCAACAACCATGTGTATAATCCGTTATGATCTTTATTCAATCATCTCCTGTTATCCACCTTCTGTGAGTGTGTGAGGAACATCAGACAGTGTTTTGAAATGCTGTTTATTGTTGAGTGTTTGTGTTGAAATCCAGATGGGAATGTTTTGGACGCTCCCATATTTCAGTTCTCATACTCGCATGTTCACACACGCACACACACACACACACACACACACACACAGACACACACACTCTCTCTCTCTCACTTTCAAACGGCTCTCGTCCATCTCACACACGTTTTTTTTCTTTTGACTTGTTTGTAAAGCAACCTGAGCTACTACTATTAAAAAACTTTATGTAAGGTTTCTAATGTTCATCTTCATCTTATAATTATATGCATAATTCAGCATACTGATTATTTATTCATATTTTATAGAAAGAACAACTATTTGGGTCTCTGTCTGTGAATGACATCCAGACGTTCATGTTTTTCTTGAGCTTAAAAGAAAACAACTGCAGTTGCCAGGCAACTCAACATGACATGAGTCACCAGCCGCCGCACCCTCACACACTTCACACACACTGACACACACTCCGTCCCACAGATGAAGGGCTTCACACACTGCGTCACATCCTCCATCCTCGAGGTCATTCCATCTGCTGGCTGTTTCAAGCATAGCATCATCATTATTATTATATTATTATTATTATTTCAATTAATAGTTGAAAAATATATGAATCACATTTATTTAAAAAACCAATGAACATTACGTGGTTGGCACTGACGATGCTAGGCAAATCTGTAATCAAGATGTAATCAGAAATTACTTGCATGAAATCATTTAAACAATTAAGAACATTTGAATGAATATGAATATATTGATAAGTATAATGATAACTATAATGATTATATTAGCTTTCTAGATAGGCAGCCTAGAGCCCACACTGGGGCAGGATTGCTTAGAAACGAGATAAAGTCTCCAGAACAGTCAGGTTTAAATGCTGAACCAGAGCCGGATGGACCTCAGAGGGGTCAAACAGGGCTAGGAAGACGAAACCCGTTCCTGAAGAGCAGGGACGTCTAAATTATAGAAGATGACTTGTACCAGAGCTGTAACAGCTGTCTTGTGGTGGGCCGAGAGGGATTGGCCAGCCACCGGGGTATGGTGGGCCGAGAGGGATTGGCCGGCCACCGGGGTATGGTGGGCCGAGAGGGATTGGCCGGCCACCGGGGTATGGTGGGCCGAGAGGGATTGGCCGGCCACCGGGGTATGGTGGGCCGAGAGGGATTGGCCGGCCACCGGGGTATGGTGGGCCGAGAGGGATTGGCCAGCCACCGGGGTATGGTGGGCAGAGAGGGATTGGCCGGCCACCGGGGTATGGTGGGCCGAGAGGGATTGGCGGGCCACCGGGGTATGGTGGGCAGAGAGGGATTGGCCGGCCACCGGGGTATGGTGGGCCGAGAGGGATTGGCCAGCCACCGGGGTATGGTGGGCAGAGAGGGATTGGCCAGCCACCGGGGTATGGTGGGCCGAGAGGGATTGGCCGGCCACCGGGGTATGGTGGGCCGAGAGGGATTGGCCAGCCACCGGGGTATGGTGGGCCGAGAGGGATTGGCCAGCCACCGGGGTATGGTGGGCAGAGAGGGATTGGCCGGCCACCGGGGTATGGTGGGCAGAGAGGGATTGGCCGGCCACCGGGGTATGGTGGGCCGAGAGGGATTGGCCAGCCACCGGGGTATGGTGGGCCGAGAGGGATTGGCCGGCCACCGGGGTATGGTGGGCAGAGAGGGATTGGCCAGCCACCGGGGTATGGTGGGCAGAGAGGGATTGGCCGGCCACCGGGGTATGGTGGGCAGAGAGGGATTGGCCGGCCACCGGGGTATGGTGGGCAGAGAGGGATTGGCCAGCCACCGGGGTATGGTGGGCAGAGAGGGATTGGCCGGCCACCGGGGTATGGTGGGCAGAGAGGGATTGGCCGGCCACCGGGGTATGGTGGGCAGAGAGGGATTGGCCGGCCACCGGGGTATGGTGGGCAGAGAGGGATTGGCCGGCCACCGGGGTATGGTCAGCCATCAGCTAAGCCATCCCAGACGGCTGTAAGCATGGGATGGTACACTGGCTTTGAGCCAAAATGGGAGAGGCCGCATGTGCAGTAGGTGCTGTTGCCATTTGACCTTGAGCTGCGACTGAGACAAAACCAGCCAGTTGTGGAGGTAATTCAGGACACGCACTCCCCTCTGTCTCAGGGAGGAGAGCGCTGTGTCCACGCACTTCGAGAAACATGAGAGGTGCCAGAGACAGTCAGAACAGAAGGACAGTGTATTGGTAGGCCACCCCCTTGAACGCAAATCTCAAGAACGGTCTGTGAATGTGGAAATGAAAATAAGCATCTTTCAGATCCACCGACTATTTGATCGTCTCCAGGACCCAACTGGATTCTCCCAGGCCTGGATTCGGGTGGCCACGGGCTGGAGAGCCACGAGCGGTGGGTCACCGCATTGGGGCAGGGAGTACAGGGAGTAACGCTCGCTAATTTCGAAGCTGTTCACCGCAGGACCAAAGAGGTCCAAGGGAGAGACTGGGGAGTCGAGGAAGGCTTATCTGCGTCCTTGATCTTCACAAGATTCAGCCAGAGGTGGCGCTCCAGCGCCACAAAACTGGCCATTGCATGACCGATCGTCTGGGCCATCGTTTTTGTAGCATGCAGGACGAGGTCAGTTGCGCTACATAACTACTTAAAAGCAGAGGGATCGGGGTCAGACTCCATGGACTCCATGTTGTGTGTGTTAAACAAGTGCAGTGCTGTGGGAAAGAATTTCCCCCTGGGGACAGTAGAGTTAATCAATCAATGGAGCGGAGGAGTTTTGCCTGGAAGCTCTGGAGGACCGCCTTCGTATTAAGAGCAGATCCGGCTTGGCCAGTTATTGGACAATAACTATTATGATAGCTATAACAACAACTTAATGATAACTATATTGACGTCCACACCAGTGAACAATAACTATATTAGTGTCCTGTCAGTGAACGATAACTGTCATTACCATAATGATAACTATAACAATAACTTAATGATAACAGTATTACATCCACACCAGTGAATCAAATTTTATAAAGATAACTATATAACCACACCAGTGTTCAGTTTATTCTAAACATGCTGGAAGACATGCTGTCATCTGCCGCTTTAAACGCTTGATCTCTTTACAGCAGGATTCATTCTGATTGGCTTTAAATGTTTTTATCGTTCATCAGCTGTAAAATAAATCGCTCTGAAAGTGATTCCAGTGATATCATTCCTCTGTGTCTGTCACATGCCTGTCCTGTCTTGTGTTGCACATGGGTGTTGTTATGTTGTGCCATGTGCTGTTGTGATTGTTGATCCCTCCCCCTCGTTACCTGATTAGTGTTTGAGTTGTTCCACCTGTTCCCTCTTGATTTGTTCCCTTTTTAAGTCTCCTCTTGTATGCAGTCTTTGTCGGTTCGGTGTCATACGTCTTCCCAGTTCCTTGTTGATGTTCATATGTTCAGAGTCAGTGTTGGTTTCATGTTCATTTATTATGTTTTCCCCCTCGTGGGTTTTTGATTTGTGTTTGTACCATAGACTGTAAAAAATATGGACAAAGCGTCTGTGACGTCACCCATAGACTTTCTGAAGAACGGTTCTGAGGCTGTTTATGGGGGGTATGGGCGGTGCCATCTTGTAAAATCTTACGATATTTCAAATACAAATGTTCAGAAAGGATACAGAGGTGGTATGATGTGTTGTGTCAGATCATGGCCGAGACGTCAAATTTCAGGAATTCCACTCGGCGCAGCCCGTTATCAGCTGTCAATCACGCGCTTATTTGTCATACATTTTATATCTAAATACGATCTAAACTACCGAGTTAGAAAAAAATTCACCCCCCATCACAGTTGTCAGGCACTCGGAACCTATCAAAAAATACAATAAAAGTCCATGGGACCAACCTGTAAAAACATAAATTTATGCTGTGAAAACTGACATTTTAACGTGCGGGTCTATGGAGATTTGCTCCCTTTTGGGACCTCCCTCTAGCGGATTTTCGATGTATTGCAGTTTTTCGCACTTCCGGGTAGGCTTCATTTTTCAGATTAGAATGTTGCCTCTTGGTTTGTACTGTTTTTCCTCTTTGTTTTGCACTTGAGTTATCTTCCTTGTTTTGGTACTTGTACCGTGACAGAACGAACCGACCATTTTGAGAACTCAGCAGCGATTTGGAGGATTTTTGCTGGATGTATATAGATGTGTATCACTCCTCTGTGTACTTGTAGTTGTGGTGTTTTGCTATTAGAGTTAGAGCGATTATTAAAACTTTATTGTTATAGTTATTGTTCTTGGAGTGAACAGGCTTGTAAATAGAGCATTGAAACGTCAAGAACAAAAAAAAGAAAAAGATTTTCCAACAAAATATCCCAAAACCCTGTGTGTGTGTGGTTTGGCATTTTGTGGAACCAATTAAATAGTGTCTATTTCTGATAGAACTGATCTTTTGTTTTTTGACCCACCACTAAACCATGGCAATTAAATTTCAGTGATTAAATGTTTGCTTTGTCATGTCTGTAGTTTGTTTGTTGTAGATCATTCGCCATGAACTTACGGTCTGAAACCTTCACACAAGGTACGTCCCAATTCACATAGTTATGCACTATTCTATGCTGGTTTGTAGTATAAATAGTGTGATTAGTGTGTTCAGACTGAAAATCCCAACAAGAAAGGGTGCACTTCTAATACCCGGATAATGCACTTAATTAAACGGGAAAAAGAAGTGTGCTCGACTGTCACAGTTTTAATTACATAGTCAAAGGAAAGGGCTATCAGACTCTGATGGTGGATGAGGCAATCACCTAATAAACCTTATACACTAGAAGATGGTTGAGTACACAGCATTGAGTGCATAGTCTAAGTACATACTGTAGTAGTGTATATGTTACTTGTGACAGAAATACAGAGACCTCACTGAGTATGTAACAGAGCTGCTGCTCTCTAGTGGCCACACTCGTGTACTGCACACACACACACACACACACACAGCTGATCGCAGGAAAAAGTGAGATTCTGCATATTTATTTTATGTCAGTTTGAAGTGAATGTGATGTGTTGAGGAGTCCTTCAATCTGGCAAGTTCGGCATGATCTTCGCAGACCGGCACTTGAAGACGTGTTCCATGTGCACAAGTCCCTTCCATCACAGATTTGATGACTTCTGACCTTTGACCTCTCACCACCATCCAAGCTCAACATCTGATGAAATGCACTCGACTGAGACGGGTTTGTGAAAATTTCTTTAATGTTTTAATCGTATACAACAAAGCAAGAAATTGAAATATTCAGGATGAAATTGTAACAGACAGTGTTTATGCAGAATTCAGAACTGAAAAGTTTATAAAATGAAGATTAAAGCAATAAAAAATGAAATGTGTAAATAGGTTGAGTTTGAACATGTTCATGCGAAGCTAACAGGGAACGTTCTCAGAACTGTAACGAACGTTCTGGCAATGTTCTCTCAAAGTTGTGAACAAACGTTCATCCTGTAACATTAATAGAACGTACATTCAAAGTTATCTGGTCTTTAATAATGTTCTAAAAACGTTAGAACAAAAACATTATCTATACATTGTTCATGGAATGTTTTTCTGAAACATTTTAGTTGGTTGTTCAAGTGATGTGGGGGATGTTTTCAAAAGTAACGTTAAAGGGGTCATATAATGCCATTTTTGTACAAGTTAATATGAATCTTTAGGGTCTAAATGAAAACTTTGTAATATACTTTAATTAAAAATTCTCATTGTAAGTATTGTAAGAAAACACTAATTTTACCTGGTCAAAAACAGCTCTGTTTTCAGCACGCCGTTTCAGTGCATGTGCCTTTAAATGATAATGAGCTTAGCTGACTCCGCCCCTCTGTTCGGTGTTTAGACACAACGCAAGTGGAGTGTTGCCTTGACAACAGTTGAGGGTATATTTTGGAGAAAGAATGGCAGCGGGAGTCTCTGAGGACACATCTGTCTAACCGTATCAGTTTGTTAGATTTTTATCATTATATGATGGTTGTGTACAGGCACTGCCAACACACATTTCAGTACAATCAACTTGTAAAAGTGCATGTACTATTATATGACCCCTTTAAAACAATGTTTGCAAAATAATCAAATGGAATGTTCACATAACCAAGAAAAAACATTAAACACAGGTGTGTATTCTGGATACACACACACACACACACACACACACACACACAGGTGTGGTTGTCGAACTGCGCGGCGATGGACGTGTTCATCCCTCCATCACACAGACGAGTGGAGGGTCAGATTGGCTCTCAGTAGTAGGATGGAGTCGAATAGCCAGGCGAGTTCAGACTTTTATAGAGAAAGGAGCTGCACACCAGCGCCACCAACTGCCAGACAGAGAGAGAGAGAGAGAGAGAGAGAGAGAGAGAGCGAGCGAGAGACAGTTATATCTGCTGCGCTGCGTGAGGAACATGAGCATGAGGAAGCAGGAGCGACGGCTGATTGGTCAGGAGCACGTATGTAGGAGCTGCGCGAGACTGTGAGATGTGTCTGCTGAAGACCACACTGCACACCAGCGCCAACATCTGGGGATGAGCGGGAACACATGCAGACAAACACACACAGATCAGCGTGCAGTACTGGACACGGTTCCAGTGTGTGTGGATGTGAGAGCATGTAAACTGCAGTGTGTGTTCAGATGGACTCACCATGATTCCTGCCGTCCCTAGAAACCCTCCCAACACCATTGGGGCGCTCGAGTTGAACATGTCATGGATCACACTGGGACAGCTCTAACACACACACACACACACACACACAAGATGAGCGTCTGCTTCGTTCCTCAAACATCACACATGCAGAAATAAAATTAAAAAACCCTTGACACCATTGATAATAACTATAAAGATAAAGATATAGTTTTAAAAATCTTTCTAAATGTAAATGATACGCTGGTGTAAACACTAATATAGTTATCGTTATAGTTATTGTCCGCTGGTGTGAACACTAATATAGTTATCGTTATAGTTATCGTCTGCTGGTGTAAACACTAATATAGTTATCGTTATAGTTATTGTCCGCTGGTGTGATCACTAATATAGTTATCGTTATAGTTATCGTCTGCTGGTGTGAACACTAATATAGTTATCGTTATAGTTATCGTCTGCTGGTGTGAACACTAATATAGTTATCGTTATAGTTATCGTCTGCTGGTGTAAACACTAATATAGTTATCGTTATAGTTATCGTCTGCTGGTGTGAACACTAATATAGTTATTGTCTGCTGGTGTTAACACTAATATAGTTATTGTTATAGTTATCGTCTGCTGGTGTGAACACTAATATAGTTATCGTTATAGTTATCGTCTGCTGGTGTGAACACTAATATAGTTATTGTCTGCTGGTGTTAACACTAATATAGTTATTGTTATAGTTATCGTCTGCTGGTGTGAACACTAATATAGTTATCGTCTGCTGGTGTAAACACTAATATAGTTATCGTTATAGTTATCGTCTGCTGGTGTGAACACTAATATAGTTATCGTTATAGTTATCGTCTGCTGGTGTAAACACTAATATAGTTATCGTTATAGTTATCGTCTGCTGGTGTAAACACTAATATAGTTATCGTTATAGTTATCGTCCGCTGGTATTTAACACTAATGTAGTTATCGTTATAGTTATCGTCTGCTGGTGTGAACACTAATATAGTTATTGTTATAGTTATCGTCTGCTGGTGTGAACACTAATATAGTTATCGTTATAGTTATCGTCCGCTGGTGTGAACACTAATATAGTTATCGTTATAGTTATCGTCTACTGGTGTGAACACTAATATAGTTATCGTTATAGTTATCGTCCGCTGGTGTGAACACTAATATAGTTATCGTTATAGTTATCGTCTGCTGGTGTAAACAGTAATATAATTATCGTTATATTTATCATCTGCTGGTGTAAACACTAATATAGTTATCGTTATAGTTATCGTCCGCTGGTGTAAACACTAATATAGTTATCGTTATAGTTATCATCTGCTGGTGTGAACACTAATATAGTTATCGTTATAGTTATCGTCTGCTGGTGTGAACACTAATACGGTTATCGTTATAGTTATCGTCTGCTGGTGTGAACACTAATATAGTTATCGTTATAGTTATCGTCTGCTGGTGTAAACACTAATATAGTTATCGTTATAGTTATCATCCGCTGGTGTAAACACTAATATAGTTATCGTTATAGTTATCGTCTGCTGGTGTGAACACTAATATAGTTATCGTTATAGTTATCGTCCGCTGGTGTGAACACTAATATAGTTATCGTTATAGTTATCGTCTGCTGGTGTGAACACTAATATGGTTATCGTTATAGTTATCATCTGCTGGTGTGAACACTAATATAGTTATCGTTATAGTTATCGTCTGCTGGTGTGAACACTAATATGGTTATCGTTATAGTTATCGTCTGCTGGTGTGAACACTAATATAGTTATCGTTATAGTTATCGTCTGCTGGTGTGAACACTAATATGGTTATCGTTATAGTTATCGTCCGCTGGTGTGAACACTAATATAGTTATCGTTATAGTTATCGTCTGCTGGTGTGAACACTAATATGGTTATCGTTATAGTTATCGTCTGCTGGTGTGAACACTAATATAGTTATCGTTATAGTTATCGTCTGCTGCTGTGAACACTAATACGGTTATCGTTATAGTTATCGTCTGCTGGTGTGAACACTAATATAGTTATCGTTATAGTTATCATCTGCTGGTGTGAACACTAATATAGTTATCGTTATAGTTATCGTCCGCTGGTGTGAACACTAATATAGTTATTGTTATAGTTATCGTCTGCTGGTGTAAACACTAATATAGTTATCGTTATAGTTATTGTCCGCTGGTGTGATCACTAATATAGTTATCGTTATAGTTATCGTCTGCTGGTGTAAACACTAATATAGTTATCGTTATAGTTATCGTCTGCTGGTGTGAACACTAATATATTTATTGTCCGCTGGTGTTAACACTAATATAGTTATCGTTATAGTTATCGTCTGCTGGTGTGAACACTAATATAGTTATCGTCTGCTGGTGTAAACACTAATATAGTTATCGTTATAGTTATCGTCCGCTGGTGTGAACACTAATATAGTTATCGTTATAGTTATCGTCCGCTGGTGTGAACACTAATATAGTTATCGTTATAGTTATTGTCCGCTGGTGTGAACACTAATATAGTTATCGTTATAGTTATCGTCTGCTGGTGTGAACACTAATATAGTTATCGTCTGCTGGTGTAAACACTAATATAGTTATCGTTATAGTTATCGTCTGCTGGTGTGAACACTAATATAGTTATCGTTATAGTTATCGTCTGCTGGTGTGAACACTAATATAGTTATCGTTATAGTTATCGTCTGCTGGTGTGAACACTAATATAGTTATCGTCTGCTGGTGTAAACACTAATATAGTTATCGTTATATTTATCATCCGCTGGTGTGAACACTAATATAGTTATCGTTATAGTTATCGTCCGCTGGTGTGAACACTAATATAGTTATCGTTATAGTTATCGTCCGCTGGTGTGAACACTAATATAGTTATCGTTATAGTTATCGTCTGCTGGTGTGAACACTAATATAGTTATCGTTATAGTTATCGTCTGCTGGTGTAAACACTAATATAGTTATCGTTATAGTTATCGTCTGCTGGTGTGAACACTAATATAGTTATCGTTATAGTTATCGTCTGCTGGTCTGAACACTAATATAGTTATCGTCTGCTGGTGTAAACGCTAATATAGTTATCGTTATAGTTATCGTCTGCTGGTGTGAACACTAATATAGTTATCGTTATAGTTATCGTCTGCTGGTGTGAACACTAATATAGTTATCGTTATAGTTATCGTCTGCTGGTGTGAACACTAATATAGTTATCGTCTGCTGGTGTGAACACTAATATAGTTATCGTTATAGTTATCATCTGCTGGTGTGAACACTAATATAGTTATCGTTATAGTTATCGTCCGCTGGTGTGAACACTAATATAGTTATTGTTATAGTTATCGTCTGCTGGTGTAAACACTAATATAGTTATCGTTATAGTTATTGTCCGCTGGTGTGATCACTAATATAGTTATCGTTATAGTTATCGTCTGCTGGTGTAAACACTAATATAGTTATCGTTATAGTTATCGTCTGCTGGTGTGAACACTAATATATTTATTGTCCGCTGGTGTTAACACTAATATAGTTATCGTTATAGTTATCGTCTGCTTGTGTGAACACTAATATAGTTATCGTCTGCTGGTGTAAACACTAATATAGTTATCGTTATAGTTATCGTCCGCTGGTGTGAACACTAATATAGTTATCGTTATAGTTATCGTCCGCTGGTGTGAACACTAATATAGTTATCGTTATAGTTATTGTCCGCTGGTGTGAACACTAATATAGTTATCGTTATAGTTATCGTCTGCTGGTGTGAACACTAATATAGTTATCGTCTGCTGGTGTAAACACTAATATAGTTATCGTTATAGTTATCGTCTGCTGGTGTGAACACTAATATAGTTATCGTTATAGTTATCGTCTGCTGGTGTGAACACTAATATAGTTATCGTTATAGTTATCGTCTGCTGGTGTGAACACTAATATAGTTATCGTCTGCTGGTGTAAACACTAATATAGTTATCGTTATATTTATCATCCGCTGGTGTGAACACTAATATAGTTATCGTTATAGTTATCGTCCGCTGGTGTGAACACTAATATAGTTATCGTTATAGTTATCGTCCGCTGGTGTGAACACTAATATAGTTATCGTTATAGTTATCGTCTGCTGGTGTGAACACTAATATAGTTATCGTTATAGTTATCGTCTGCTGGTGTAAACACTAATATAGTTATCGTTATAGTTATCGTCTGCTGGTGTGAACACTAATATAGTTATCGTTATAGTTATCGTCTGCTGGTCTGAACACTAATATAGTTATCGTCTGCTGGTGTAAACGCTAATATAGTTATCGTTATAGTTATCGTCTGCTGGTGTGAACACTAATATAGTTATCGTTATAGTTATCGTCTGCTGGTGTGAACACTAATATAGTTATCGTTATAGTTATCGTCTGCTGGTGTGAACACTAATATAGTTATCGTCTGCTGGTGTGAACACTAATATAGTTATCGTTATAGTTATCGTCCGCTGGTGTGAACACTAATATAGTTATCGTTATAGTCATCGTCCGCTGGTGTGAACACTAATATAGTTATCGTTATAGTTATCGTCTGCTGGTGTAAACACTAATATAGTTATCGTTATAGTTATCGTCCGCTGGTGTGAACACTAATATAGTTATTGTTATAGTTATCGTCTGCTGGTGTAAACACTAATATAGTTATCGTTATAGTTATTGTCCGCTGGTGTGATCACTAATATAGTTATCGTTATAGTTATCGTCTGCTGGTGTGAACACTAATATAGTTATCGTTATAGTTATCGTCCGCTGGTGTGAACACTAATATAGTTATCGTTATAGTTATCGTCCGCTGGTGTGAACACTAATATAGTTATCGTTATAGTTATCGTCCGCTGGTGTGAACACTAATATAGTTATCGTTATAGTTATCGTCCGCTGGTGTGAACACTAATATAGTTATCGTTATAGTTATCGTCCGCTGGTGTGAACACTAATATAGTTATCGTTATAGTTATCGTCTGCTGGTGTAAACACTAATATAGTTATCGTTATAGTTATCGTCCGCTGGTGTGAACACTAATATAGTTATCGTTATAGTTATCGTCCGCTGGTGTGAACACTAATATAGTTATCGTTATAGTTATCTGTATGGTTATAGTTTTTGGCGTGAATGGGCCTAAAGTCAAACAGGAAGTGACTCACGGGAAATGTGAGCTGCTTCAGGATGTTGCCCTCTGGACAGGTGTCACGCACCAACACTTCAATTGGTCCACCGATGCCACAGCAGTCGAACTGCACACAGACACACACACGAATGTTAGATGGTTTACCCACATCATGAGCCCTAACCCAATGTCCTCATAATGACGTGTGTATTCAGGGTTCAGGCCACGCCCCTCATTATGTTTTCTGTGAGGGATACATGTTTAAAAAGGAGGTTCAAAAATTGGATTACATCAGTATAGTAACAATGTGTGTGTGTGTGTGTGTGTGTGTGTGTGCACGTGTGCGTGCGTGTGTGTGTATGTGTGTGTGTGTCTTACAGTGTTGTGGAATAGTTTGAGCGTTATGGCTTGACCAGGACTCCTGGTGTTCAGATACTGAGCGTAGATCGTGGCATAGAAATTTGCCAACTCTTCGGACACCTACAACACAACAAACACACAACTGCCTTCAGGTCTGCACTGTTATACAGACATGTGCTCATGCTCTGTGTGTGTGTGTGTGTGTGTTTACCTTTCCACTCATCATGAAGGCCATCACACCTGCTGAAATCTCGATGATGATCAGGAAGGACAGCAGGCCAGAAAACTGAACATCAGAAAAACAGAAACACAGTTCATCCACAACAGACACACAATATTGTCATGTTATTTCTCAGATACACACAGAAGAAAAGAAAATGAAGAGCCATGACTCTCTCAGCTTCTCTAGACAGCGACTGCATTGAGTTGCAGAGCAGGGTTTGCATTCTACTATGCCAACACACACACTTCTGTAGAGTTCATCTCGAGCTATCTCTACACTCACGCTTCTGTAGAGTTCATCTCGAGCTATCTCTACACACACACTATCTGTAGAGTTCATCTCGAGCTATCTCTACACACTCGCTTCTGTAGAGTTCATCTCGAGCTATCTCTACACACACGCTTCTGTAGAGTTCATCTCGACCTATCTCTACACACACACTTCTGTAGAGTTCATCTCGAGCTATCTCTACACACACACTTCTGTAGAGTTCATCTCGAGCTATCTCTACACACTCGCTTCTGTAGAGTTCATCTCGAGCTATCTCTACACACACGCTTCTGTAGAGTTTATCTCGAGCTATCTCTACACACTCGCTTCTGTAGAGTTTATCTCGAGCTATCTCTACACACACGCTTCTGTAGAGTTCATCTCGACCTATCTCTACACACACACTTCTGTAGAGTTCATCTCGACCTATCTCTACACACTCGCTTCTGTAGAGTTTATCTCGAGCTATCTCTACACACACGCTTCTGTAGAGTTCATCTCGACCTATCTCTACACACACGCTTCTGTAGAGTTCATCTCGACCTATCTCTACACACTCGCTTCTGTAGAGTTTATCTCGAGCTATCTCTACACACACACTTCTGTAGAGTTCATCTCGAGCTATCTCTACACTCACGCTTCTGTAGAGTTCATCTCGAGCTATCTCTACACACACACTATCTGTAGAGTTCATCTCGAGCTATCTCTACACACACGCTTCTGTAGAGTTCACCTCGACCTATCTCTACACACTCGCTTCTGTAGAGTTCACCTCGAGCTATCTCTACACACACGCTTCTGTAGAGTTCATCTCGACCTATCTCTACACACTCGCTTCTGTAGAGTTTATCTCGAGCTATCTCTACACACACGCTTCTGTAGAGTTCATCTCGACCTATCTCTACACACACACTTCTGTAGAGTTCATCTCGAGCTATCTATACACACACACTTCTGTAGAGTTCATCTCGAGCTATCTCTACACACTCGCTTCTGTAGAGTTCATCTCGAGCTATCTCTACACACACGCTTCTGTAGAGTTTATCTCGAGCTATCTCTACACACTCGCTTCTGTAGAGTTCATCTCGAGCTATCTCTACACACACACACTTCTGTAGAGTTTATCTCGAGCTATCTCTACACACACGCTTCTGTAGAGTTCATCTCGAGCTATCTCTACACACACGCTTCTGTAGAGTTCATCTCGAGCTATCTCTACACACTCGCTTCTGTAGAGTTCATCTCGAGCTATCTCTACACACACGCTTCTGTAGAGTTCATCTCGACCTATCTCTACACACACACTTCTGTAGAGTTCATCTCGAGCTATCTCTACACACACACTTCTGTAGAGTTCATCTCGAGCTATCTCTACACACTCGCTTCTGTAGAGTTCATCTCGAGCTATCTCTACACACACGCTTCTGTAGAGTTCATCTCGAGCTATCTCTACACACACACTTCTGTAGAGTTCATGTCGAGCTATCTCTACACACACGCTTCTGTAGAGTTTATCTCGAGCTATCTCTACACACACGCTTCTGTAGAGTTCACCTCGAGCTATCTCTACACACACACGCTTCTGTAGAGTTCATCTCGAGCTATCTCTACACACTCGCTTCTGTAGAGTTCATCTCGAGCTATCTCTACACACACACTTCTGTAGAGTTCATCTCGAGCTATCTCTACACACACGCTTCTGTAGAGTTTATCTCGAGCTATCTCTACACACACACTTCTGTAGAGTTCACCTCGAGCTATCTCTACACACACACGCTTCTGTAGAGTTCATCTCGAGCTATCTCTACACACTCGCTTCTGTAGAGTTCATCTCGAGCTATCTCTACACACACACTATCTGTAGAGTTCATCTCGAGCTATCTCTACACACACGCTTCTGTAGAGTTCATCTCGAGCTATCTCTACACACATGCTTCTGTAGAGTTTATCTCGAGCTATCTCTACACACTCGCTTCTGTAGAGTTCATCTCGAGCTATCTCTACACACACACTATCTGTAGAGTTCATCTCGAGCTATCTCTACACACATGCTTCTGTAGAGTTTATCTCGAGCTATCTCTACACACACGCTTCTGTAGAGTTCATCTCGAGCTATCTCTACACACACACTTCTGTAGAGTTCATCTCGAGCTATCTCTACACACACACGCTTCTGTAGAGTTCACCTCGACCTATCTCTACACACTCGCTTCTGTAGAGTTCATCTCGAGCTATCTCTACACACACACTATCTGTAGAGTTCATCTCGAGCTATCTCTACACACATGCTTCTGTAGAGTTTATCTCGAGCTATCTCTACACACTCGCTTCTGTAGATTTCATCTCGAGCTATCTCTACACACTCGCTTCTGTAGAGTTTATCTCGAGCTATCTCTACACACACGCTTCTGTAGAGTTCATCTCGAGCTATCTCTACACACACACTTCTGTAGAGTTCATCTCGAGCTATCTCTACACACTCGCTTCTGTAGAGTTCATCTCGAGCTATCTCTACACACACACTATCTGTAGAGTTCATCTCGAGCTATCTCTACACACATGCTTCTGTAGAGTTTATCTCGAGCTATCTCTACACACACTTCTGTAGAGTTCATCTCGAGCTATCTCTACACACACACTTCTGTAGAGTTCATCTCGAGCTATCTCTACACACACGCTTCTGTAGAGTTCATCTCGAGCTATCTCTACACACGCTTCTGTAGAGTTCATCTCGAGCTATCTCTACACACACACACTTCTGTAGAGTTCATCTCGAGCTATCTCCACACACACACTTCTGTAGAGTTCATCTCGAGCTATCTCCACACACACACTTCTGTAGAGTTCACCTCGAGCTATCTCTACACACTCGCTTCTGTAGAGTTCATCTCGAGCTATCTCTACACACACGCTTCTGTAGAGTTCAGCTCGAGCTATCTCTACACACACACACTTCTGTAGAGTTCACCTCGAGCTATCTCTACACACTCGCTTCTGTAGAGTTCATCTCGAGCTATCTCTACACACACGCTTCTGTAGAGTTCAGCTCGAGCTATCTCTACACACACACACTTCTGTAGAGTTCATCTCGAGCTATCTCTACACACACACTTCTGTAGAGTTCATCTCGAGCTATCTCTACACACACGCTTCTGTAGAGTTCATCTCGAGCTATCTCTACACACACGCTTCTGTAGAGTTCATCTCGAGCTATCTCTACACACACACACTTCTGTAGAGTTCATCTCGAGCTATCTCCACACACACACTTCTGTAGAGTTCATCTCGAGCTATCTCCACACACACACTTCTGTAGAGTTCACCTCGAGCTATCTCTACACACTCGCTTCTGTAGAGTTCATCTCGAGCTATCTCTACACACACGCTTCTGTAGAGTTCAGCTCGAGCTATCTCCACACACACACTTCTGTAGAGTTCACCTCGAGCTATCTCTACACACACACTTCTGTAGAGTTCATCTCGAGCTATCTCTACACACTCGCTTCTGTAGAGTTCATCTCGAGCTATCTCCACACACACACTTCTGTAGAGTTCACCTCGAGCTATCTCTACACTAGGGCTGCAACTAACGATTATTTTGATAATCGATTAACCGGATGATTATTTTTTCGATTAATCGGATAGAAATTAAATTAGATTTTTTTTTTATAACTAAATATAACCGTAAATCAGGATATTTATGTGTAAAAGGGTACTTTAAAAAGTGCAAAAGCCACACATTGAGTTTTACTAATATCAATATTTGCATTGTTTTTAATGATAATTGCTGATGGCAAGTTGACAACCATGATTATTGTTAAAAAAAATGATATCCAACATATTATGTTTTAACACAATTTTTGTTAAAACAAATTTACACAGACATGTTGTTCAGATGTGAATATCTGAACTAAAAACAAACTAAAAACATCTAAAATGTATAATTCATTTAATTTTTATTTAAAATTAATTATATATAAGGAATATAAGGATAAAGAATATAATATATATTATATATAATATATAAAAGAATATAATATAAGGATAAATTGATTAAATAAATATAGAAAGACTGAAAACAATTGTGTGAACAGAGCCGCAGTAGATCGCGTTTGAAAAACAATTAAAACTTAGTAGACAATGCTATAAAAAGAGAACGGAATGGAGCTAACAGGCTTGAGTAAAGGACAGGAGAAATGATGCATTAGTGCACAAACATTCGCTGAAAACCACTGAGTACAGTGACTAAAAAACAATCTTTTACTGCTGCTGTTATTAACTGCCTTTATATTCAGTGCTTCACTTTGTAAAGACCGTTTTAATTTAATATTTCTGCGGTAGCGCTATTTTAATCCATCACTTATGTTGCGAGCGAACTGATTGCGCAACCTGATGCTCGAGACAAAATACAGACATCCCAAGATCCCGGAAGTTCTGGGAGTCTCCCGCATATTGATAGCGGCTCCCTGATGCCCGCGAATTAGTTCAAACTCCCGAAATCTAGAGCGCGCATGCGAGACAGAAGAGACTGCTCCAAACCGTGTAGCGCGCGCGCTCGGCAGAGCAGCTGAGGGAGAGAGACCTTTGTGTGTGTGTGCGTACCAGTAAACGCTCCCCGTGACGTAAGCAGACCAACTCATCGATAATGACATTCGTTGACAACGATTTTCATAATCGATTATAATCGATTTTATCGATTAGTTGTTGCAGCCCTACTCTACACACACACACTTCTGTAGAGTTCACCTTGAGCTATCTCTACACACACACACTTCTGTAGAGTTCACCTTGAGCTATCTCTACACACACACACTTCTGTAGAGTTCACCTTGAGCTATCTCTACACACACACACTTCTGTAGAGTTCACCTCGAGCTATCTCTACACACACACACTTCTGTAGAGTTCATCTCGACCTATCTCTACACACACACACTTCTGTAGAGTTCACCTCGAGCTATCTCTACACACACACACTTCTGTAGAGTTCACCTCGAGCTATCTCTACACACACACACTTCTGTAGAGTTCATCTCGAGCTATCTCTGTCTCGTGAGTCAGTGTGTGTGTAAAGCGAGTGTTCTCCTCACCACACCAAGAGCAGATTTACTGTGGTTACACGCGCCGCAGTCTCCGATCACAGCGACCAGCAGCATCAGCGCACCCGTGCCGATCAGCACGCCCACACCTGCGGACACACACACACGTCACACACTCAGTGAGAACAGCAGTGCTAATATCATGCAGTTCCACAGATGCCACAGAGAAACTCTAGAAGGACTAACCGATAGTGAACTGTGCCGTATTCAGATCGATGTCGAAGAATCCTCTGGTTTCAGCGCCGAATCTGAGCCACATTCCCAGAGAGACTAGCCCCAAACCCACCAGCTGAAACACACACACACACATCACTGTATCATCATCATCATCATCATCATCATCATCATCATCATCATCAGAGAGACTAGCCCCAAACCCACCAGCTGAAACACACACACACACACACACACACACATCACTGTATCATCATCATCATCATCATCATCAGAGAGACTAGCCCCAAACCCACCAGCTGAAACACACACACACACATCACTGTATCATCATCATCATCATCAGAGAGACTAGCCCCAAACCCACCAGCTGAAACACACACACACACACACACACACATCACTGTATCATCATCATCATCATCATCATCATCAGAGAGACTAGCCCCAAACCCACCAGCTGAAACACACACACACACACACACACACATCACTGTATCATCATCATCATCATCATCATCATCAGAGAGACTAGCCCCAAACCCACCAGCTGAAACACACACACACACACACACACACAACACACACACACACACACACACACACACACACACATCACTGTATCATCATCATCATCATCATCATCAGAGAGACTAGCCCCAAACCCACCAGCTGAAACACACACACACACACACACACACACACATCACTGTATCATCATCATCATCATCATCATCATCATCAGAGAGACTAGCCCCAAACCCACCAGCTGAAACACACACACACACACACACACACACACACACATCACTGTATCATCATCATCATCATCATCATCAGAGAGACTAGCCCCAAACCCACCAGCTGAAACACACACACACACACACACACACACACACATCACTGTATCATCATCATCATCATCATCATCATCATCAGAGAGACTAGCCCCAAACCCACCAGCTGAAACACACACACACACACACACACACACATCACTGTATCATCATCATGATTTGAGGGTTGGGGTAAATGTACAACTTGTAACGACTGGAAATAAGGCGTGGCCCCTTTAAGAGCTGTGCGCTCCCTGTTGAACTGTCGGCAGTATTGGGCCTCGAACACCCCATGTATGCGGGTCATTTCTGTTTGATGCTAATTTTTATCTTATTTTGTTTATTAAGTAACGATGTGGACGGTAGAACGTGTGACAGACAGTTAGGCTACACGAGTTCGATTTGGGAATAAAGTGCGAGTTGTGAGATGCCAATCGCCTCCGTGAGTCTGTCTGGCCTCTTCATGCAATAACTTCAGTTGTGAGCTATCCCTAATCTTCCTGAAGCAACGCGTTACAAACTGTACTTCAGTTTCATTACGGGGACACCACCTTCACCTGCCATCATGTCTATCGGCTCGCTTTCGGGTTAAACTTTCCGCGACTGCGCAACTGGGTTATAGGTTGCCAGGTTGAGGTGACAAACGGGTTGAAATTGTAAATGGTCTGTGGATTGTGTGAATATAATGCATTTAATACAATCTGGCAACTGGTCAACATTAGACAAACATATTGGTCCGATTATTCATAAAGGAGTTGGGCCATGCAAATTACGGGAGTTTCCCGGGAGAAATAACAAACCGGGAGGGGTCTGGGAGATAGGGCTAAAAACGGGAGAAACCCGGGAAAAACGGGTGTTGACAGGTATGACTGCCATTCAAATTAAATTGTTGATATCAAGAATTGATTTCTTACTAGTAGAAACTCCAATGTGATACATCCGAAATCATAATAAAAATTCACAATCCAATTTCTGATACCAAGAATTAGCATTTTAGTGCAAATTGAATTTTTGATATCAAGAATTATTTCCAGGAATGAACGCCACACGTGACACTACGTCACCGAAGCTGCGAGCTTTACCTGCGAATGCGCTGAAAGCGAAACTAGCGCTTATAAGCCGTTTAGTACATTTATTCGACGTTTTTATCAAACGAGACATTTAGACAAGTAAATCTGAATAAAAGACATATTGAGACATACTCACAGCGAACAGAATGTTAAACAAGATCAGGAAACATTTACACAACTGCGCGCACCCGTCCATCACGATGTATTTCACTGCAAGAAAAAGATTATTAATGACCCCAACCGAGCACTGCCAGTGGATGACGTCTTAATGGGCTATCCTAATAACACAAAAACAATTATATAAGTTATTTTTCTTTTCTTAAATTTTTTTTTTTTTTTTTTTTCTATGCAAAGCACTTTGAATGGCCATGGTTTATGTAATGCGCTATATATAAATACACTTGCCTGGTCTATTACTGAATAAGATCTGTGCTTTGTCTGGTTACTCCGGATAGATGCGGTCGCGTTCACTGTTCACTCACTGTCTGTGGGTGCTGAATGCTGAGGTGTACACACACACACACACACACACACTCGCGTCCCCGCGTCAGAGCGCGCGCGCTCATTGGCCCCCGCGCGAGTGACGTCAGCGGGTTGACGAGAGTTTCTGTGCTGCTGAATCGAAACCATAACCCACCGGTTTCCTATGAACACGGGGAGTGAGTCACGACCACTACTGTACTTTATACATAACGCACATCTTGAGAATACAGACATCACTGTCAATTCTGCATCCAGCCAGCGCTTTCGACATTAAACTGTGTGTTTTTAATAAGATCAGATACAATTATTACGTTTTCATCAAAACTTACTCGGCCATCATGCAATTATTCATGTGTTTAGAGTCATGGACGCGCTGAGATCGCTCGAAGACTCGTGGCTTATCTTGCTACTGCTTTCCGGGGATGTTGCACTAACCCGGGTCCAGTTTGGCCAGGACTACAGCAGGACTCTGGAGCCGAGCCCGTGACCGTGGCGTCTCACAGCGAGAGTCCTGGAGACCAACCCTAGCATTCACATAAACCCATTTATAGATAAACAGAATATGCTAACAGTCGTAACCTGAGACTGCGTGGAAACGAGCCATTGTTACTTTATTTGCGTAAAGCCTTTGACACAGTTCTCCTTTCTAAACTCAGTTTTCATCTGAAGCTTTAGCTTGGGTATCCTCATATTTATCAAATAGAGAACAATGTGTAAAAATGAAAGGGGTTAAGTCCTGCAATTTACATTAGGTGTACCCCAAGGATCAGTGTAAGGTCCCTTATGATTTAGTGTGTACATTACGTGTGAAGGGATGGTTTGCTGAGGATACTGTTGTCCGTACACACGCGAGAACAGGAGTTAGCAGCTGAGCGGCCGAAAGCTGTGAGAGCAATCGCCTCTTAGCCGGAACACTAAACTCATTCTCTTCTCACAAACAAATGTTAAATCTCCTCATGTTGATATGTTTATTCATAGGGAAAAGATAGAAATAGTTCACGAGTTCAATTATCTTGGCATAATATTGGACTCAAATCTCAGTTTTACAAAACATTTGAAGAAAATAGTGAGGAATATTAAATATAACTTGGCAAATATTAGCCAGTGTCTCTCTGGTGATGTAGCTAAGACTTGTGTGCATGCTAACCCTTTCTCACATGCCTTACTGTCTGTGTGGAGCTGTGATTAAACCCGAAAAAAACATATATAAACACACTTTAACATTTGTAGATTTAAAAAGACAACCCATTTTCGTCATTGTAGGATCTTAGAGAAACATAATTGTTCTGCATTTGGACGATTGATAGGGTGATATAGTGGCGCTATAATCAGTGGACTGCCCTACCAGACCATATACAAGTGTGGAAAGCTCTTTCTCTTTTTAAATTGAACTTAAAATCTTTTTTTAAATCAAACCAACTCTGTAAACATGGAGATTGTTGGAGTTTAATTGATTTTTTGTGTGTGTGTGGCCCTGATAGTATAGTGTGTGTGTGTGTGTGTGTCTTTTCTATCTTCCAGAACATTTGTAGTGTTGATAAAGGAGGCTGGATCTGATCTGTTTTCCTCAGAGTAAACAGCACATTATAATCCATGTGTAGAAACACTCCCTGCTGAGACAGTTAATATCTGCTTTAGAGACGCTCATGTAGTGTGTGTGCATATTGTATGTGAACACACAGGTATTGTGTGTGTAATTGTATGTTAGTGTTGACCTGCCTGGGGACTGCGGATGAAAATTAGCCTTAAATCCGGTACAATGCATGAACTGGAAACATTCAGCTCTAACACACACCTGGACACACACATGTGCGGTTTCAGCTCCAACACACACCTGTACAGGACACACACATGTGCGGTTTCAGCTCTAACACACACACCTGTACAGGACACACACATGTGCGGTTTCAGCTCTAACACACACACCTGTACAGGACACACACATGTGCGGTTTCAGCTCTAACACACACACCTGTACAGGACACACACATGGGCGGTTTCAGCTCTAACACACACACACCTGTACAGGACACACACATGTGCGGTTTCAGCTCTAACACACACACCTGTACAGGACACACACATGTGCTCTTTTATTCTGTCACATTCGGCAAAATCCAACAAACACAACAAGAGATGTAGTTTGACAGTGTGTTGAAATGACTGTCCGTGTGACTCACCATCGCCCCCTAGTGTTAAGTGCTAAACACCACAGCGACGTCAGCATACTTAATAAACCATAACTAATAATCATAACTAAAACAATCCATACATAACAAGAGTACTTGAATCTGTACGACTACACCCTCCCCCACTAAAAAAGGGTAACACTTTCTATGAAGCCTGCATTTATAATGCATCATAAGGGTATTCATAATGCATTATTATACATGCATAATGCCTTATGCTGTATCATCTCATGAATAATCATAACAACAGCAATAACGCTTACCTACTAATTAGATTTGGTAAAGCCTTGTAATTGGACAGTTTTAGTGAATGTTCTGTTCATGTGTACTTTTGCGCACAGCTTTGATTTTACTGTAAGGGAAATGTCTTATAACCACTCCATGATATATTATGGCTGTTTAAAAGAAGACTTTTGTTACTTTATACTTAAAGCAGACAAAGACTGCTTATAAATATTATGACCACATTATAAAGCTTTTGCACAGATGTGAACTCATTATTTTTGCTTTGTTTGATATAGCTTGTGAGGGACAGTAGTAAATGACAGCGTGGCCTTTAATCTCTTCTATCTGTACAGGTTCTGCAAGCGGTTCATTAACTCGGGAGACAGAAAGAGTGTGTGAACTTCTGCAGTCGTCAGTAGTAGTCGTCATACGGCTCGCTGATGTTAGTGGTCGTGGGACGTGGGATGCTGTAGTCTCTCTCAGCACGGATCTCCTGAAACATAAAACACACTGCAGATTGTACCATGTGACAGAGACATCATCACCCACCCAGTGCTGCAGGATTGTGATTGGACGATGAGAACTCACACTCATGAAGATTCCAGACGACACCACGACTTGACCTGCAACAGAAACATGTGACCTTTAACCTGTGGCAGCAACCAAAGTTGGTTTGTTGGATATGTTTCACAATGCATTCTGGGATTGTGTTATTCAGGATAGAGGCTGTAAGGTCAGGTATTTGATGATTAGCCTAAGCTAACGAGTATTAATGTTCCAGTAAAAATGTCTAAAAATCCTCAAAACAAGACTCAATTCTTGAGAAGCATCACTGTTTGAGATGTTAAGCCTTGTTTTTAATGCGGTGAGAATCTACTGATTGAAAAGATTGGACAACAGCGCCATCTGCTGCTTGAAATGTTCAACACAGCCATAAAGCCTGGAAATGTAATGCATATTTTATCAACTGAAATTGTTTCTTAAAATGTTTTAGTTGGACGTTCGTCTAACGTTGTTTAAATGTTACTACTGGTTTCAGAACGTTCAGAGAACATTCCAAAGTAACGTTTCATAATGTTTGAAGAATGATTCAATGGAACATTTCCTTAACTTTAAGAAAAAGAATTCTTAAAACATTGAAAAAACAAGATGTTTTGAACGCTCAGAGAACTTTTAGAAATAACGTTTTTCATAACTTAATGGGAACGTTAGCAAAAGGTTCTACGCAGAATACACTCGTGATGTTACGCAGAATGTTACGCAGAATACACTCGTGATGTTACGCACAATGTTACGCAGAATACACTCATGATGTTACGCAGAATGTTACGCAGAAAACACTCGTGATGTTACGCAGAATACACTCGTGATGTTACGCACAATGTTACGCAGAAAACACTTGTGATGTTACGCAGAATGTTACGCAGAATACACTCGTGATGTTACGCACAATGTTACGCAGAATACACTCGTGATGTTACGCAGAATGTTACGCAGAATACACTCGTGATGTTACGCAGAATGTTACGCAGAATACACTCGTGATGTTACGCACAATGTTACGCAGAATACACTCATGATGTTACGCAGAATGTTACGCAGAAAACACTCGTGATGTTACGCAGAATACACTCGTGATGTTACGCACAATGTTACGCAGAAAACACTTGTGATGTTACGCAGAATGTTACGCAGAAAACACTCGTGATGTTACGCAGAATACACTCGTGATGTTACGCACAATGTTACGCAGAAAACACTTGTGATGTTACGCAGAATGTTACGCAGAATACACTCATGATGTTACGCAGAATGTTAAACATAATACACTCGTGATGTTACGCACAATGTTACGCAGAAAACACTCGTGATGTTACGCAGAATACACTCGTGATGTTACGCACAATGTTACGCAGAAAACACTTGTGATGTTACGCAGAATGTTACGCAGAAAACACTCGTGATGTTACGCACAATGTTACGCAGAATACACTCGTGATGTTACGCAGAATGTTACGCAGAATACACTCGTGATGTTACGCAGAATGTTACGCAGAATACACTCGTGATGTTACGCACAATGTTACGCAGAATACACTCATGATGTTACGCAGAATGTTACGCAGAAAACACTCGTGATGTTACGCAGAATACACTCGTGATGTTACGCACAATGTTACGCAGAAAACACTTGTGATGTTACGCAGAATGTTACGCAGAAAACACTCGTGATGTTACGCAGAATACACTCGTGATGTTACGCACAATGTTACGCAGAAAACACTTGTGATGTTACGCAGAATGTTACGCAGAATACACTCATGATGTTACGCAGAATGTTAAACATAATACACTCGTGATGTTACGCACAATGTTACGCAGAAAACACTCGTGATGTTACGCAGAATACACTCGTGATGTTACGCACAATGTTACGCAGAATACACTCGTGATGTTACGCACAATGTTACGCAGAAAACACTTGTGATGTTACGCAGAATGTTAAACATAATACACTCGTGATGTTACGCACAATGTTACGCAGAAAACACTCGTGATGTTACGCAGAATACACTCGTGATGTTACGCACAATGTTACGCAGAAAACACTTGTGATGTTACGCACAATGTTACGCAGAAAACACTTGTGATGTTACGCAGAATGTTACGCAGAATACACTCATGATGTTACGCAGAATGTTAAACATAATACACTCGTGATGTTACGCACAATGTTACGCAGAATACACTCGTGATGTTACGCAGAATGTTACGCAGAATACACTCGTGATGTTACGCAGAATGTTACGCAGAATACACTCGTGATGTTACGCAGAATACACTCATGATACACTTCCATGGTCTGTCATGTCCGCGCTACCTCAGGTAAGGGTAAGGTGCGCACTCACTGCTTTTCTGGTGCTCGTGTTCTTGATGTCGCCGCACAGGTTCCCGAGATCCTGAACGGTGACGAGCGCGTCGGAGCCGTTGTCCTCCATGCGGGAACGAACGACATCCGGCTGCGGCAGACGGAGGTTCTGAAGAAGGACTACAGGAGCCTGATCGAGACGGTACGCAGCACAGCGCCTGAGGCAACGATCATCGTGTCTGGACCGCTTCCCACGTACCGACTAGGACAAGAAAGGTTCAGTAGACTATTTGCTCTAAATGAATGGTTAATGTCATGGTGTAATGAACAGAAACTGCTCTTTGTAAATAATTGGAATCTGTTCTGGGAGCGACCTAGGCTCTACCGTGCTGATGGCCTGCACCCCAGCAGAATCGGAGCGGCTGTTCTGTCGGACAACATCTCCAAGACGTTACACACCGTATGACTAAAAAATCAAATTCCAAATCACAGTCTTTGCTGTGCCAATTTAATTGATATAAGTAGTGTAGAATATTATATAGAAACTGTGTCTATTCCTCGTTTAGTGAGGCCAAATAATAAATCCACTGTAGGATCTAGGAAAAATCTTATTGTAATTAAACCAGAAAATCTAAATATCAGTGAACAAAAACAATTTCTAAAACTAGGTCTTCTAAACATTAGATCGCTCACACCTAAGGCGGTTATTGTAAATGAAATGGTCACAGATAATAGCTTCGATGTACTTTGCCTTACTGAAACCTGGCTTAAACCAAATGAGTATTTCGGTCTAAATGAGTCTACTCCGTCAGGATATTGTTATAAGCATGAGCCCCGTCTGATCGGTCGTGGCGGCGGTGTTGCAACAATCTATAGAGATATTCTTAATGTTACTCAGAAAACAGGTCACAGGTTTAATTCGTTTGAAGTACTTGTGCTAAATGTTACGCTCTTAGATGTAAGAAAGAAATCCCTATTATCTCTAGCCTTGGCTACTGTATATAGACCTCCAGGGCCCTACACTGATTTCCTAAAAGAGTTTGCAGACTTTCTCTCAGATCTATTGGTCAATGTCGATAAAGCAATAATTGTTGGAGATTTTAACATACACGTAGATAACACAAATGATGCGTTAGGGACTGCGTTCACAGATTTATTAAACTCCTTTGGGGTCAAGCAAAACGTCAGTGGTCCCACTCATCGTCTAAATCATACACTAGACTTAATTATATCATATGGAACCGATCCAACCGATATAGATATTATACCGCAAAGTGACGATCTCACTGATCATCACATGGTAACTTGTATAATACGCACTGCTGAAATTTGTCATGTTGCGCCACGTTATAGACCAGGCAGAACAATCCTTCCAATCACTATAGATAGATTCTCAAATAGCTTACCTGATCTATCTCAGCTGCTCAGTGAACCCAAACAAACAGATGAACTAGAGGAAATGACCAGCAGTTTGAGCACCATTTTCTCTAGTACATTAGATATTGTTGCACCAATTAGATTGAAAAAGGTTAGAGAGAAAACTAAAGCACCATGGTACAATAGTACTACACATGCTATCAAGAGAGAAACTCGTAACTTAGAGCGTAAATGGAAACAAACTAATTTAGAGGTCTTTAGAATCGCGTGGAAAGACAGTGTGTCACGTTATAAACAGGCTCTAAAAGCAGCCAGGGCTGAGCATCTCCGCAAACTAATAGAAAATAACCAAAATAATCCAAGGTTTTTATTTAACACCGTGGCTAGGCTAACAAATAAACAGACATCACCAGAGCAAAATATTCCGTTACAGTATAGTTGTAATGATTTTATGAATTACTTCAATGAGAAAATAGAAAGCATCCGAAATACAATTGTAAATGTACAATCCTCTATGGTCTCTTGTGATTCAGCCTCAATTATCGTCCCTCAAGAACAACTACAGCTTTACAACTGTAGGACAGGAAGAGCTAAATAAACTTATCATTGCATCTAAACCAACAACATGTTTATTAGATCCAATACCCACTAAACTACTGAAAGAAGTGTTACCTGTAGTGGAAGAGCCTCTTCTTAATATTATTAACTCGTCTTTATTTTTAGGTCATGTTCCAAAAATATTCAAGCTGGCAGTAATAAAACCTCTTATTAAGAAACCGCAATTAGATCAAAATAACTTAGCAAATTACAGACCCATTTCAAATCTTCCATTTATGTCTAAAATACTAGAAAAAATTGTGTCCGCTCAATTGTGTTCTTTCTTGCAAGAAAATGAGATATATGAAAAATTTCAGTCAGGATTCAGACCGCATCATAGCACAGAAACTGCGCTAGTTAAAATTACAAATGATTTACTTTTAGCTTCTGACCAAGGCTGTATCTCAATATTAGTTCTACTCGATCTTAGCGCTGCGTTCGACACTATAGATCATAAAATACTCCTGGATCGACTACAAAACTACACTGGTGTTCAGGGACAGGCATTAAGCTGGTTCAGATCGTATTTATCAGACCGTTACCATTTTGTCTGTTTAAATGGGGAAAAATCGAAGATAACGTCAGTAGACTATGGAGTGCCGCAAGGATCGGTGTTAGGCCCTCTGCTATTCTCAATATATATGCTGCCACTTGGTAATATTATAAGAAAACATGGAATTAATTTCCACTGCTATGCTGATGACACTCAATTATATATTTCATCACGACCAGATGAATACACTAACTTATCTAAATTGACAGAATGTCTTAAAGATATAA